AATCGTTCACCTCACTGGGCGAGACAGTATTGTAGTTGCGAAAAAAATAAAAACTTCGACCTTGATTATTTTTGTAATTTTTTAGGGGTAAAATATTGGCGCGTGGGGATTGCAGGGGAGTGGGGGAGGGCATATTTGAATTTTGTGGTGTTAGTATACTCATATTGTCCATATTCCACATATCATATGTTTTCGGTACATTTGTCTTTCAAACTTGAAAAATAGAGAAATATTTCCAATAAGGGTCTCCATCTGCTATCAGGGCTCAACATCCTACGGAACAGTCTGCTTTATTGTTTTGCACGTACTGCTTTAGTGGACGCCGAGTAATTGTATTCTAATGTTTGGGATGACTTAATTACATCACAGGTGGCTTGATAAAATTATACTAAGTGACATATAAATCCGAACACCCAGTTTAAATGGTTTTATTTTAATAAAAATTGGTGAATGTATTTATCTTACTGTAAATAACAAGTGAAAAAATGTTCAGCCTTATCAGTTGGACATTCCGGTTTTTATACTGCTTTTTTTTAATTCACTAACGCTCTAAAAATGAATATTTCAGCCGCAGTAAAGAATCAACGTTGGCGGATTTTGGTTCTTGACATCCTTTACGATCGGTTACGATGCCTAGAGTACGGAGACCTGTACGATTTCGTCAACTTAGTGAGTTTGATAGGGGCCGTACAGTGGGACTTCGGGAAGCTGGACTTTCTCTTCGGGCAATTGCAGTTAGAGTGCAAAGAAGTGTAGACACTGTGGTTAGGTGTTCTCAGGCATGGCTTCGAGAAGGCCGTACGCAAAGAGCGCCGTAGAACAACAGATCGTGAAGATCGCCGCCTAAGATTATTGGCCTTAAGGGACCGTTTCTCCACTACCAGGTCCATTGCAAATGAATGGTTTGCAGAACACGGAAGACCTATTGGCATGCGAAGTGTTCACCGACGAATGAGAAGCTTTGGCTTGTTTTCATACCGGCCACACTGGGTCCTCCCTGTAACTCGAGAACACCGACGTAATCGCCTTGAGTGGTGCAGACAACGGTCACTCTGGGATCAGGAATGGAACAGTATTGTCTTTAGTGACGAGTCTCGATTTTGTTTAGGCATGCACGATGGTCGTGCCAGGGTTAGAAGGCGCCGTGGTGAAAGGAGGAATCCACAGTTTTTTGTTGAAAGACATGTTCATCACACTGTTGGAGTTATGGTTTGGGGTGCTATAGCTTATGGTTCCAGGTCACCTTTAATCTTCATCAGAGGTAACATGAACGCGCAGCGTTATATCCACGAAGTTCTAGAACCCCATCTTTTACCCTATCTTGACACCCTGGCAGATCCAACTTTCCAACAAGATAATGCCCGACCACATGTTGCAAGAGTCACAATAGACTTCTTTCAGCATAATGATGTCACATTGTTACCATGGCCACCAAGATCTCCCGACTTATCCCCAATTGAGCACGTGTGGGATATGATGGGTAGGAGATTGCTCAATTTGCAATATCCTCCTCGGACTCTAGAAGCACTTCGAGATGAGTTGGTGGTTGCCTGGAATGAGATACCACAGGAGGACATTGACCACCTGATCAGAAGCATGCCTAGGCGCGTCGGAGAATGCATAGCACATCAGGGTGCATCCACACATTATTAAAGGTCAAAGGGCTTCAAAGCGGTGCAATCATTTTGAAATTTTTATCATTTATTATGCTTCATTAAGTACTTATACAAAATTTTATTAAAATAAAACCATTTAAACTGGGTATTCGGATTTATATATCACTTAGTATACTACCCTACAAAATTTTAGAAATATCGTTTATTTCTCGCTATTATAATAATAATAATGAAGCATTTATTGGCCAACAGAACAGATACCATTTAGAGAGTAATACGTAGAAAAATGGTTTAATTTACACAGGTTCTCAATTTTCTTAGCAATCCAGTTATTCTCTGCTAGCTAATTCTGCGGTATTTTATATTTATGTATAAATTTCAAGATAATCTCTGCAGTAAAAAATGTCTCTTACCATAAAAACCGCTTTAAAATGCGTAAAAGTTGGACCGCTACATTAGAAAACTTCGGAAACAGGGGGAAATTCACCCGAATCTCCAAATTTTATTCCCAAAGCGTCAAAAGTTTTTTTCGCGGTGTGAATGTATACATTTATAAGCATCAGTAATTTCTACCCTGCTCTTTAACCAAGTAAAGGTAATGGAAAAAACCTGAGGCTTATATAAAGTTGAATTATGCTTAAAACTTAGTCGGTGTTGACTTTTACGTTGTGTGAAATATTCTGGCGCAGTCCTGAGGGGTCCATTAAAATAACGCAGCTGTGGTTATCTGCATCAGCTACCAGCAGATGTGACTACTTTTTATCTTTTCTTGGATGCCTAAGCATCTGGAAAACTTGGATACCCGATACCAGAATGTGGAAAATTATGTGACGTTTTTCAGCTTCAGAATCTTATAGAATTCTTATGAAAAATGTACTTTTAGTTCGGCAATTGACAAGAAGGTATTCTAATCGCGAAAATACTTGATATTTATGAAATTTTTGGATGTTTTATTGCCTTTGCTCTGTTAGTATGTTGTATGTGTCTGAGGGCCTTTAAGTCTGCTGATCATGGACCCCTGTATAACTTGAGGTCACTTGATGAAATTTTGATACAAAACTACTACTATGCCAAGGACGGGAATAATTGAAATTGTTTAAACGTCCTTTTTTGACCTTCCAGTGATTCCTGCTGTTTTTCAGATTTTTTTCGTAGGTATTGAAGATTGGGGTTTGGGAGCTGTAGGATTTTGCATGGAAATTCTTTAATATTAGATGCAAAGTTAGACATAATTAAACACTACTCAAAAAATTACTGTTTGAAGCTTAACCCCTTAAACGCCAAAGTATGTTGTATTGATTTTGAAATATAAAGAAGTACCTTTAGGAGGTATCAACATTGAATTTGTTGAGTAAGCTAAAAATTGGGGATAGTACTTAAAAAACAAAGCGGTCGGACACGTCAATTTTGATTTCTAGGGGACATCTTTTCATACCTACAGGTATATTCAATTGTTGTGAAGCAATTTGAGTTTATAATAAAATTCGACGAACCTAATACTAATAATAGTGGAATGCATGGCAAACAAATAATAATCATGGAAACTGGTCCAAAAACCAAAAAATAAAGTTCGATCGGACATTAAGTAATGTTCTCAACAAATTAAATGTATACTAAGTGACATATACATCCGAACACCCAGCTTAAATGGTTTTATTTTAATAAAATTTTGTATAAGTACTTAATGAAGCATAATAAGTAAATGATAAAAATTTCAAAATGATTGCACTGCTTTAAAGCCCTTTGACCTTTAATAATGTGTGGATGCACCCTGATGTGCTACGCATTCTCCAACGCGCCTAGGCATGCTTCTGATCAGGTGGTCAATGTCCTCCTGTGGTATCTCATTCCAGGCAACCACCAACTCCTCTCGAAGTGCTTCTAGAGTCTGAGGAGGACGTTGCAAATTGAGCAATCTCCTACCCATCATATCCCACACGTGCTCAATTGGGGATAAGTCGGAAGATCTTGGTGGCCATGGTAACAATGTGACATCATTATGTTGAAAGAAGTCTATTGTGACTCTTGCAACATGTGGTGGGGCATTATCTTGTTGGAAAGTTGGATCTGCCAGGGTGTCAAGATAGGGTAAAAGATGGGGTTCCAGAACTTCGTGGATATAACGCTGCGCGTTCATGTTACCTCTGATGAAGATTAAAGGTGACCTGGAACCATAAGCTATAGCACCCCAAACCATAACTCCAACAGTGTGATGAACATGTCTTTCAAGAAAAAACTGTGGGTTCCTCCTTTCACCACGTCGCCTTCTAACCCTGGCACGACCATCGTGCATGCCTAAACAAAATCGAGACTCGTCACTAAAGACAATACTGTTCCATTCCTGATCCCAGAGTGACCGTTGTCTGCACCACTCAAGGCGATTACGTCGGTGTTCTCGAGTTAAAGGGAGGACCCAGTGTGGCCGGTATGAAAACAAGCCAAAACTTCTCATTCGTCGGTAAACACTTCGCATGCCAATAGGTCTTCCGTGTTTTGCAAACCATTCATTTGCAATGAACCTGGTAGTGGAGAAACGGTCCCTTAAGGCCAATAATCTTAGGCGGCGATCTTCACGGTCTGTTGTTCTACGGCGACGTCCAGTGCCCCTTGCTCTTTGCGTACGGCCTTCTCGAAGCCATGCCTGACAACACCTAACCACAGTGTTTACACTTCTTTGCACTCTAACTGCAATTGCCTGAAAAGAAAGTCCAGCTTCCCGAAGTCCCACTATACGGCCCCTATCAAACTCACTAAGTTGACGAAATCGTACAGGTCTCCGTACTCTAGGCATCGTAACCGATCGTAAAGGATGTCAAGAACCAAAATCCGCCAAAGTTGCTTCTTTACTGCGGCTGAAATATTCATTTTTAGAGCGTTAGTGAATTAAAAAAAAGCAGTATAAAAACCGGAATGTCCAACTGATAAGGCTGAAAATTTTTTCACTTGTTATTTACAGTAAGATAAATACATTCACCAACTTTTATTAAAATAAAACCATTTAAACTGGGTGTCCGGATTTATACATATGTCACTTAGTATATTTATGTATTTCAAGTTACTGTTTCTTAATTGCTTCTTTGAAACGAACTACTACTCCCGTAACAGTGAACGTCATGGGGGCGAAAGGCAAAATCGTGAATAATACACATAGAATCGAGATTTACCTTGTCAACGCTTCATCTAATTAACGCGAACGTGAGTTCTGTGAAACGTTGAAAATCGTCTACTTTGAACATATATAATGTATTTTAATACCTCAATTAGGCTGTTTGAATAGCGACCGAGCGCGTTTAGAGCCATAGGCAGGGTTCATGCCTTTAATGCTTTTGAAGGGTGCCGTGGCGCATTCGCAGGTATTCTAAATTCATCTGGATTTGCTTTAAGGTCGTTGAGGGAGTCGATGCCGTCGAGGCGTTACTGAGGGGTAAGTTGTGCTTTACGCCGCCGAGCTATTGCCAAAAAAACCGATATAATGTCATTACAAGGGTAGATTAGAATATTACAAAAGAAAGAATATTGCATTTCAAAGACGAGAGAGATAAGAAATAATTATAATCACTGTATACTGTCGAATTACAAGTCATACACATCCTAACGCGGGCACGGTGGAGATTTCCGGAGTTTTTGAGAACGTACAACAAAACGTAAATAAACATAATTTATAACTTCGAACATAACCTGTCTTCAGAAAGGACAACATATAAATAACCAGTCGAGCACAGCTTATAGACATACTTCATACTACATACTACATATATACGTATAGATGCAGACCAATACATATAATGATCCAGATGCGATCTTGATATTCAGCCAACTTTCTTCTCAGAGATGAAAACTACACTACTAGTCTTCACAAAACATATGCAACCAACAATGCGTGTAGCTGAGTCATCCCTCCGTTGATGGACGCTCGCAACGATCCTAGTGAGAAAACGTGGAATGTGTGCACCCTAAAAACTACCTAGTCTGCAAGATGTACATTTTATAGGTTTTTTTTGTGTCTATCCTTCAATCTTTAAGCATCCCACAAACCGGCGCTAAATAATCGCGGCGAGGTATTCGCAACGAAATTCAGAGCGAAATTCGCAATCTGTTTCGCCTGTTTATTCATACCAAAGCGTCTTATTCGCTCCGCGAACGTGAAGGTTTCGACAGGTTGCGTACATCTTATTTTTGCCGTTTGCAATGAGCTCGTCTTCAGAAGAAGAAGAGGCACTTCTATTTCTTGCTTTAGAAGAGGAACAAAATGCATGGTAAGTTATGTTTATTTAACGCCATTTGATAGTTGGGTATGTATTAAGTTTAACGAAGTACATAAAACAAATATTTTCAATTTTGTTTAGGAAACGAAGGAAGTGGGTATATGATATTAACTTGGAACGAAATAAATTTGGGGAATACCATACCTTGATGCCACAACTTCGGCTGGATGAACAGCGCTTTTACGTATATTTTGAATGACTCCAGAGTGTCTCGATGAAATATTGAACTTGGTGAAAGATGAAATACGAAAATCTGACACAAATTATCGTGAAGCTATTTCGCCAGAAGAACGACTTGCTATTACACTCAGGTAAAAAAATTATATGTATTAAAATTAGTAGGCTTATCGAATACGAAAACTTCAGGGATCGTGGAATAAATATTTTATTGTAATAATTGGACTACATGTTGCCACTAGGATTAAATGTTGCTAAATAATTCGAGGCAGAATTTGCCTCCTCTGTTGGGTATATTATTGGAGTAAACCCAGTGCCGCTTGGGAAGGACGACATACTACTATCATACATACTTGCAGAATTCTGGGTAGACGCTGAAGACATTTCTTCAATATGTTCAAATTCTTCGTGCGCTATTAATTCGGCTATTTTTAGTTTTATTCGGGCTTGACGCTTTAAGGGAAGTGTTTTCACAGTCTGTGCATGTGCCAAGAAAAGTGAATCAATGGCCTCGTTCTCTTTTTTAGGTTTTTTACCTTCAAAATAATTAATGAGCTGTTGTACAGACGAAGATGGTGGTTCATAGCGTTTTCTGCTCGTTTTATATTTTGGTGTAGTTGCAGTCTGCGGAAAGGTGTGCCCTGGAGTAGTCACTGCTGTAGTGTTTAATGAAGAAGGTGGTGCTGTCTGTGTTGCCGAGGCGTTCTGTGCATCTTCTGCATCTACATCAGCATTTTCATCTTCTCCATGGCCGCGGTCTTCCAAATTTTCGGTTTCTACATTTCCAGCCCTTTCCTGATATATATTTGAGTTAAATTCGGCAGTCTCATAATGTATGACGTCAATATCTTTCACATTAGACGACGTCTTGGCAAATGCCAAAAAAGGACGGAAAAATTCCATGTAGTCAGCCCACTGCCATTTTTTTATGTTGCCCACTGCTTGGCCGGTCTTTGGTTTGGTAGATTTTATATATTTTGCAAATGTGTCTCTGATATTCTTCCACCTTTTTTTTACTTCATCACCTAAAAATGATTTTTTTTATAGATTCCTTGCCACTGGTGACACCTTCTATACCATTGGGCATAGCTTTCGAGTTGGCTTTACAACAGTGAGTGCAATCGTAACCGAAGTCTGTCAAGCGATATGCAGACATATGGAGCATATATATTTACCAGAACCAACAGAGAATATATGGAAAAAATGTGCTGAAGAATTTGAAAATAGATGGGGATTTCCCAATTGCATTGGCAGCGTGGACAGTAAACATGTAACAATCAAGAGACCTAACAACAGTGGCTCCAATTACTGGTGCTATTTACATAAATATTCAATAGTACTTATGGCCATTGTTGGCCCGGACTATAAATTTATATGTGTTGATATTGGTGGTTTCGGAAAAAATAGTGATGGGGGTATTTTCGAAACCTCAAACATTTGAAAACGATTTGAACAAAATTTAATGAGTGTCCCTGCACCTAGATTTCTCCCTGGGCAAAATGAAATCTGCTCGTACGTCTTAATTGGTGATGAAGCATTTGCTTTAAAACCATACCTTATGAGACCATTTGCTTATAAGCAGACTTTAACAGACGTCAGAAAAGAGAAATACAATGTAAGACTTTGTCGAGCTGGAAGGGTCGTGGAAAATGCGTTTGGTATTTTGTCTCAAAAATGGCGAATATTTTACAGGCCATTAGAAACTAAAGTAGATACCACTATTCTAATTGTACGTACGGCATGTGTTTTACACAATTTTTTACGAAGTAAAAGTGGCGATGACAAATATTTTCAATTCTTAGATCCTCCAGAACCCGTGCTTGGAGCTTTTACTGATATAGCAAATGATCCTCGGCGGGCAGCAAGGCTAGCATTTTCTACTCGTGACAAATTCGTAAATTATTTTAATTCTGATATGCCTATGCCCAATATATAGAATGTTCGTTTTCACATTTGTGTAGACTGTAAATTATTTAACAAGTTAATAAAAAATATTAGGTACATACCATTTGTATTTAATTCTTTTCCTATTTCCATCCAAATCTTGTCTTTCTTTCTCACATTCCTGTATTCATCGTTCGACAAATCATACAAACAAGGATACTTTTTCACTATTTCTATCAATAATTCCGTTTTTGCCATTGCGAATTTTTGAAGAACGGCGTCTAAAACGCGGTCAAAGGCGAACTGAAATACGCCGCGATAAAAACGCTGAAACAATCGCATTCGCTTCGCACAAGTCTCAGCCTGTCCGTAAACCGCCGCGTTTTAATCTGATCGCGAATTCATCGCCGCGAAATTTTCGCAGCCAAAGCGAATATTTCGCGCCGGTTTGTGGGATGCTTAAGTCAGACACAGGGCCTTGCATGTAGCTATTTGATTTGTTCTTCTTACAAACCGTAGCATTGACATGCCTTCACAGTGACACATATGAAGCACTGATGTTTCTTCATGGTCTCTGCAGAAACTGAATGTGACCTCTTCTGTCAAACTATGGGCCTCATGGTCTTCCTATCAAATCAGAATAGGTCCTGTGTAAATGCCAGCCTTCGTTCTTTGTTGAACCTTTTGCCTGCCTTTGTCCTAATTGGCTAATACATCCGGTAGATAGATCTTAAGTAACTATATTTGAGACAAGAAAACCAACGGATCATCATAAACAGATATTAGTACATCACTAATCTTTACCGTGCACTGCAGTGTTTACCTCCAGCTATAGTGTAACTCTTACAGCTTAAACCACAGAAGCTGTAAATGACCTCTGACAGTGCCATTTCTGAAGCAGGTTTCACAACACATCAGAGCCGAACCATAAAGCTTAAGAGTCGGCACGTTTAGGCAACACGTACAGCTACTACAAGTGAACGTGAAGTCAATGACAACTAGCTTCAAGGTGACCTAAGTAACCTACATAGTGTAATTCAAAAGCTATATAATTTCAAGAGGATCCCTAGTCACATTTGCCCTATACTTTCAATAATTCCATTATTGTCATATTGTCAATACGAGCCCCTTCCCACTTCAGTTGGCCCAACTATCGAAATCTTAGTTTTTTTCTTATCAAACACAAATAATAAAAATCTAGCAGGGTGTTATAGGTTTAAAATATTAACAATGAACATTTTGATAATATATAGTAGAAAACACCAACTTTATCACTCCCTAATCAAATTTGCAGCATAAAAATAACACATGTTGCAATTACAGCATATCAACCTATTTTCATTTCAATGCAAAATAAGTCTACTCGTATAACGCGTAGGTGGCTGTGAAAAATAAAAGCCATGACAATTGTTTTTATTAATCACAGCTGCCAGAATACGTTTAAAATAGTTTTGGGTAGTTAAGGTTTGCAAAATGGGTAGAGGAAAAGTGAGAAAATTCGGTTACTGATAATTAAATTTTTTAATGCTGGGAAATCAAACCCAGAAATTGCAACTTTGTTGGACTTTTCGCGGTACAGTGTGAGAAATATTGTTAGAAGATATAACGTAACTGGTTCAGTTAATATTAAGCCTTGATATGTGAAAAAAAGTAATATCACAAATGCCGACCGAAGAGCATTAAGAAAATTAAGTGCTCTGTGGAGTGACGCTATTGGAAGGAGAATTTTGAGGTCCACAACTCATAGAGAGGCCCACAAACTGGGATTTAGCACTTGCAAGGTAAGTTTTCTTATTAAAAAAGGTGAAGTAAAAACCCTAAAGTTGCACACATGGGATTATTTTACATCAAATTTTTGCTTGGTAAACACTATGCCCCAAAGAATTTCAGCCGTAATAAAAAATAAAGGTGATGTTACTCAATGGTAATCTTTTAATTGTTGCTTTGTTAACTTCGCGCATTTATTCGCACATTGTTTATTTGTTCAGATGTTCTATTAGTTATAGGTCTAAGTGATTTCAAATATGTATATTTTACGACTAGAGTGTATCTAAAATGAGAAAATAAATTGTTTTAGAAGTAAATAGTTTCGTCATGT